TCCACACCATCTTTTGCCTTCCCTTCATCTTTTCCTTCCCCCCTCTCTCTCTCTCTGTCTGTCTGTCTCTGTCTCTATCTTCCACACTATCCTTTGCTCTCTCTTCATCTTTTCCTCCCTTTTCTCTGTCTGTCTCTCTCTCTCTTTCTCTCTCTTCTCCCTCTTTCTTATTTCCCTTTTCTCGCGCTGCCATGTTAAAATCTGAATCAATCCCCAAATATTTACGTGCATGCATGCGTAAGTACGTGTACGCGTGTGCGTTACTGCACGTGTCTGTGTGCGTTGCTGTGTGCAGAATTTCATCAGTGTCCTCCCACGCTCGACTCGGCCATCAGTTAGCTATTCTTTACGAGACAAATTTTCGCTCCGCCGATGATGCTCTTTTGTTACTCGATCGGTCAATCTGGGGAGAGGGGGAAGGGGGGAAGGGGGGGAGAGGAGAGATAGAGCTGGGGGGGGGGGGGGATGGAAGAGTGGGCGAGGGAAATGGAGGGTTGAGAGGACAGGGGTGGGGTGGGAGGGGGGTGATGGAAGGGAGGGGGGGGAGATAAAAAGGTTGATGCTCATTTGTTACCCGATCGGTCAGTCTGAGGGCGGGGGGGAGGGGGGGGTGAAGGGATGAAGTTGGGGAGTGGAGAGAGGAGGGAGGGGGTGGGTGGGGAGGGGGGTAGACAGGTGGGCAGGCTGAGCGGAGCCAAAGTCCTCAACGATGACGATAACGATAGCGGTTATTGGACGAAATGAAGATGGCGTTGCTAGCGTCGTCTTACTAATCCGGTTGAACGGTTAAGGCACGTGGGTGTCGTAGGGGAAGAGGAAGAGAGAAACGACGAAGAGGAAGAGGAAGAAACAGACGAAGAACAGGCGCAAAAAAAAAAACACTAAAATAGCGGACTTACTGAGGAGATTAAGCCCCGCCTCCTCTCGTCGCACTGCAACGTGATTGGCTACTGGCGGCAGTTTAGAGACCGGTGGTTAGCGGCGAAGAGGAAGAGGGAAACGGCGATGATGAGGAAGAGGAAGAAACAGACAAAGAACAAGAAGGCGCGAAAAAAACTAAAATAGCTGGCTTACTTAGCCTTAGCCCCGCCCCCTCTCGTCGCACTGCAACGTGATTGGCTACTGGCGGCAGTTTAGAGACCGGTGGTTAGCGGCGAAGAGGAAGAGGGAAACGGCGATGATGAGGAAGAGGAAGAAACAGACAAAGAACAAGAAGGCGCGAAAAAAAACTAAAATAGCTGGCTTACTTAGCCTTAGCCCCGCCCCCTCTCGTCGCACTGCAACGTGATTGGCTACTGGCGGCAGTTTAGAGACCGGTGGTTAGCGGCGAAGAGGAAGAGGGAAACGGCGATGATGAGGAAGAGGAAGAAACAGACAAAGAACAAGAAGGCGCGAAAAAAAACTAAAATAGCTGGCTTACTTAGCCTTAGCCCCGCCCCCTCTCGTCGCACTGCAACGTGATTGGCTACTAGCGGCAGTTTAGAGACCGGTGGTTAGCGGCGAAGAGGAAGAGGGAAACGGCGATGATGAGGAAGAGGAAGAAACAGACAAAGAACAAGAAGGCGCGAAAAAAACTAAAATAGCTGGCTTACTTAGCCTTAGCCCCGCCCCCTCTCGTCGCACTGCAACGTGATTGGCTACTGGCGGCAGTTTAGAGACCGGTGGTTAGTGGCGAAGAGGAAGAGGGAAACGGCGATGATGGGGCGGAAAGGAATTACGAAATGTCCCTTACGTTCACATGGACATGGAACAAAAAAAGTAAATAAATGAATAAATACTTTCTTGGATCAAAAGACACATTTTCAAAATATTGATAAAGATGTCGCTAACACGAGAGGAATCAGCTACCAAAGGGATTTACGCAGATATAAATCTAAACTTAACCGATACCGAATTCCTGTTGCACTAACCATCCGGTGAAGTGGACTCAACGATTCACATGAATCGATTCACTCAACGATTCACATGAATTCACATTCACATGATTATAAGGTGAAAAAATGCTAAGTTCATAATGTATGTGTGTGTGTTTGTTTATCTATTCACCTAGATATATGCACACACACACATACACACACACACACATATCTATATATGTATATATATATATATATATATATATTTATTTATTTATTTATATATTTGTATATATATTATATATGTATATATACATAATACATATACATAATATATATACATAATACATATACATAATATATATACATAAATATATATATGCATATATATATACATATATATACATATATATGTATATATATATTTGCAAACCCGCGCGCGCATGTGTGTGTTGTGTGTGTGTATCTATGTTTGTATATGTGACGCCTCGGCTGAAGAACCTGAATGTATGCATATATATATATATATAGATATATATATATAAACACACATCTGCATGTGTGTGTGTGTGTGTGTGGCTTAAATTTTGTACACGTATGCACCGATGAATCAGGCCCCGTCCACCTGTGCCTCGCTGCGTGCA